CCAGCAGGGGGCGCTCTCACCCTGCGGTCTGTGTGGGTCCTGATGCCCCAGTATAGTGACGGGGGACACTGGACTGTAAACAGGCGCCGTCCTTCGGATGAGACGTCAAACCGAGGTCCTGACTCTCTGTGCTCATTAACAATCCCGGGGTGTTTCTTGAAAAGAGTAGGGGTGTAACCCCGGCGTCCCGGCCAAATTTCCCATTGGCCCTTACCAATCATGGCCTCCTAATAACCCCCCTCTCTGAACTGGCTTCATCCCTCTGCTCTCCTCCTCACTGAGAGCTGCTGTGTGGGGAGCGTTCTGGTGCACTATGGCTGCCGTCGCATCATCCAGGTGGGGCTGCACACTGGTGGCGGTACATTGGTGGCTCACACCTCCCCCAGCAGCAACCATAGTAGACCCGATGTAGAAGTGGGGTTCCCCATGACCTGTAAAGTGCTTTGAGTGGAGTGTCCAGAAAAGCACTATATAAGTATATATTGTGTTTATTATTATTATTATTATTATTACATGCTGAACTGTGACCATCACGCCTGCTTGATCACAGAGCCTTCCCCCCTGTACTTACCCCCAAATGGTGAATGTATAATGTTTCTTTATTAGCCCTGTACAATTTCTTGCATTAGGAATTTGTCTTTTCATGTACCCCAGCTTTTCTCCATGGAGACACAGACATGGAGAGAAGCTTGGGGTCAGAGCACAGGGTCTGCCATTGTATGGCACCCCTGGAGCAGTTAGGGTTAAGGGCCTTGCTCAGGGGGCCCAATGGAGTAGGATTTCTCTGCCAGCTGTGGGATTTGAGCCAGCAACCTTCCAGCCTTAACCACAATGCCACTGCTCTGCCCATTTGCCTCTTTTCATTCAGTCACAGGCACAGATCCTTAACCACAGAGCCACCACTCCGCCCCGTTTACACTAAACTCCCGATGAGAAAGAAAGGTTTCTATTTCCTGGAGGTACCTCAAAGACAGGAGGGGGAGGGTGTAGAGAAACGTGTGTATATATCACCTGTGTAGAGCCATGTCACCTCTGAGCTACCAAACCTACTATAGTCCTTACTGTGGTTCCTTCTGTGCCTACTATACAGCTTGGCTGGACGAACGAACACTTCAGGCTTGAATCTCTTGGTTTCTACATATCATTTCTTGTTTTTGTACTTTTGCAAACTATGCACTCCGGAGGCTTGAAGTAGGCTTTGTGCTCAAATACGTATATCAAGTTGCTGCCTGACCTCTGTCAATAAGATAAGGGGCATGTATTTGGAAAGCACGCCCAGAACATGAAAAGAACTAACTGCTGTCTAGTCTGCAGCTTGGATATAATTAATTGGCATGTGTTTCAGTTTCTGGGTGATATTTTGTGATGACAGTGTGACAATGTCCAGGGGTTTCAGTGGTTTCAAGTGATTGAATAGCTGGGCAGGAGAAAAGAGAGCAGAAAGCTGATGTCAAAGTGGTTTCTAATCCAGGTATTTTGTCATTTATGTTGTCAAATAAAATGAATTTGTATAAACAGATATTTTATTTCTGGAGCGTACGTTTAGTTCAGCTCAGAGGCAGAGAAGTGTTATGAGACAATGGTACCACATGAATATTCCATCCACAGTCGAAAGTAACTCCAAACTTAGGATCAGAGTCTTTCAGATGATTCCTGAGCTGCACCGACTGTCTTTGCCAGTTCGTGTAACACCTTTCCTTTTCTTCATTCCAGCAGAAACAGCAGCCATCTCACCCTGCAGCTCCCAGCTGGCAGCCCCACTGAAGCTCAGCAGGCGTGAGCCTGGCCAGTACCTGGATGGGAGACCTCCTGGGAAAAACTAAGGCTGCTGCTGGGAGAGGTGTTAGTGGGGCCAGCAGGGGGCGCTCTCACCCTGCGGTCTGTGTGGGTCCTGATGCCCCAGTATAGTGACGGGGGACACTGGACTGTAAACAGGCGCCGTCCTTCAAGAGACATCAAACCTAGTCCTGACTCTCTGTGCTCATTAACAATCCCGGGGTGTCTCTGGAGAAGAGTAGGGGTGTTACCCCAGTGTCCTGGCCTGATTCCCCCCCCCTGGTCTTTACCCATCATGTCCTCCTAATAACCCCCCTCTCTGAACTGGCTCCATTACTCTTCTCTGCACTCTGGTGCAGCTGGAGGGGATCCACATGACCTGTAAAGCGCTTTGAGTGGAGCGTCCACTTAAAATTAAGGAATTATTGATATTGTTATTGTTATTATAGGTCACCCACATGGATTCTGTTGCTGATTCTCTCATCAGGTGAGTCAGCTTTTGGGGACCCCTGGACTGACTGGACCAGGGACACAGACCCCCGGACTGACTGGACCTGAGGTCACAGACCCCCGGACTGACTGGACCTGAGGTCACAGACCCCCGGACTGACTGGACCTGAGGTCACAGACCCCCGGACTGACTGGACCAGAGACACAGACCCCCGGACTGACTGGACCAGAGTCACAGACCCCCTGGACTGACTGGACCAGGTACACAGACCCCCTGGACTGACTGGACCAGGGACACAGACCCCTGTATTAAGTGGACCAGGGTTACAGACCCCTGGACTAACTGGACTGGGGTCCCGGACTACTTCTCTCACTGGATTGAGGTTCTTCAGGACCAGGGTTGGAGACCCCTCATTTAGATGAGCCTCATCCTCTTTCCTGTTGGCTGATGGGACAGTGCAAGTGTCCCTGAGCCCACCAGCTCCAGATTGGATGTACTGTTGGATATACTGGGTGCAGTGGTTAGTGGTATCCCGGGTTTCCTCTGACCAGTCCAGACGCACGCTGGTGGGTGGAACTGGCTTCTGGGTGTGAGTGTGTGTCTGCCCCAGCAGTGTGTGTCTGCCCCAGCGTGTGCCTGGCGTCTGTACCCTGCCTTGCACCTGTTGCATGCTGGGATAGGCTCTGACATCCCCGGCAACTCCGACCTGGAAATAGTGATCAGAAGACGGAGGGATGGGATTGAATTTATTCCGAAATTCTCTCACGCGTTCTTGCTTTTTTTCCCCATCGCCCAGTCTCCTCGGAACACGTCCCGGTGGCGGCGAAATTCGGGGATTCGGTCACTCTGCCTTGCGACGGAAAACCCTACAGCCTTGGGATCCCTGAAGACGCGCTCCACGTTTTCTGGGAAACCCTGGATTACCGCGTCTACGAGTTCGTGGGCGGGAAGGGCTATCCTGACAACGGGTTCCAGGACAGAGCCGAGATGTCCCGAGAGAAGATCAGCCAGGGGGACTTCTCTCTGACTGTCCACAACACCACCTTCTCCGATGGCCAGATCTACGCGTGTTACCTCCTAACAGAGAGCAGTCGCTTGCTTCAGAGTGTGGACCTTCTCATTCTAGGTATGTTTTTATATGGCCAGCAGCCAGATCACTCTGCAACTCACAGCTGGCAGCCCCCCCTGGATGGGGAGACCTCCTGGGGAAAAACTAAGGTTGCTGCTGGGAGAGGTGTTAGTGGGGCCAGCAGGGGGCGCTCTCACCCTGCGGTCTGTGTGGGTCCTGATGCCCCAGTA